ATTCTGTCATCAACCAAGCTAATTATGACATGATCAGTGTCTAAGACTAATAGTTTTCTGTATTGGACTGCTACATCTAAAGTTCTTTGAATTATATCCATGATGTTTGGATATCAACGAACGGCCTAAAAGCAAATAACCTTGATTCAAGGAAAGTTTGTTCTGCTTCGCAGCCGCCGGAAAATGATAATGCCTTAACAGTAGAGATATAAACATGGATTTAAAAAAAAAAGTAGATAGAAAAGAAAAAGAAAAAGATGCCTTCTATGACTGTTAGTTATAGAATCTAATTAACATTYCATTCCAAGCAGTTAGTATAGCAATGGCATCAGTGAACTTATAACATATGGTCAGTTGCTATTACGTGTTTGATCAAGTTAAAGAGGCTACTAGAGCAGTTGAGTAAAAAAAGAACYAYGAGYACTATGTGCTCTTGGATACATATTTTTAAGAAAACTGATGCAAAAGACAAGCATTTTTAGCTTTCTAGTTATTTTTGGAAGTTGGTACCCCTCAATCTGTCTAATATATAACAATGTATCAAATTAGAAAATAATGTAATAATGGGTACAAATAAAGTTCTTCATTTTATTGCATGGCCACGATGTTGGTTGATATGAGATCAGTCATTCATCCAAGATGGCGGCGGCTATGTCATCATATCCACTTCAAGAGAAGAGGGAATAAATGTGAACTATTTGTGAATTGTTTCTCTGATAAGATTATCACTACAAAAGCACTTGTGGGTTATTTTTAGTGATGTTAATAGAGTATGTCGTGTGAACCCGTATCAGATCAGTAATGTTTACTTGGRATGCCTGACTATGTCAAAAGATCATTCCAAGTCCTTAACAAAAGGTTAATGAYAATGGAATGAAATTATTACCATTCAGTTTTAACTTATAATATTCTTCAAAAGTGCATCAATRAGGTAAAATACGAACGCACCATTAAGGCATGACAAAGATGGTCAAACATAGCAAGCGCATTGTGTAAACTGCAAGTTAAAAATCCCCGCAAATAAGCACAAATTTCACGTGATTACTTTCTTTGATTAACACGTACCATTCAATGTTGATTTATCTTTATCCTTCGTCCAAAATTTCTGCATTTTTCTGAGGTATTTWGTGTAATTCCGTTGTCGTTGTTGCCGTCGTCTAGTCTGCTTCGTCCGCCATCTTTTCTAAATTTCCCGCCAGATGACGTCACAAAACACCGCTGGATTGTTTACTTGAGCCGCACGTGCAAAATACAAAATGGCGGATGAAGTTGCCTGAATAGCCTTCCAAGTTTTTATGACTTTTTAGCCCATTTTAATACTTATTGTAAGGTTTTGCACAATGGATTCTGACGATGGWCTTATGCTGAACATTGTGGAGTCCAAAAATGATGAGGTTGTGGCTTCGATTCCAGACAAACGAAGTATTACCAAGGTTTGTAAAATCGTAACAAAAGTTTAAGAATGCTTTCAAGTAAAGACATAGTTCTCTGCTCTTGTAGTGGAAAGAAAGAAGACAACAGAGGAGAAAGAAGGTTACCTCGTTTAAAGAAAAGCAGAWCCTAGACAGAAGAGAAAAGACATTAAATAATAATAATGTAAGACTTAGTATTAATAACATGTTGTAGTGTTATACAGTCTGCTATTCTCTATTTTCATTCAAAACGTCTCTCAAAAATGTTTGTTAAAGGATTGTATGATAAGCAGCAACGATCTAAAATTGGATGACCAAGATAGCAGTAAAACTAAAGAATCAACCAAACTCACTTCAAAACCACAGGTAACCCAAAGAAATATTCTTTTGCAGCTGTTTGCCAAATTGCGTTAGAGACCTTAAGCTGCAGAACAGCAACATGGTTGACAACGTCAGCAAAATTTAGTTGCTTCAACCTCCTATAGTATTATTATTTCATGTTTGTTAGAGTGAAATGACATCTTTTGGAAACCTTACTAACTTCTAACTAAAATCAGCAAAGATAAGCTTTTGGTGTAACCATTCTCTTTAGTATGTAAAACTAGGACACTTCACATCTTACTTTCAGCATAATACGGCAATGATGTACAGTGCTTTTTACATTCCAATAATAGTCTATTGAATAACACAGTTATTCAATAGACTATTAGTACTATTGTATGCTTGCCATCGTCGTCGTTGTCATACTACACCTTAAGGTCCCTGTTATAGTTAAGAGAGGGAGCTACATAATTATGCTTGTATGAACTTATAACACTGTGAGTTTGAAAAAAAAAGTATGTTATTGTTTGTAGGTGATTTCAAGCCTTTTCAGACACAATCCAGAAATCCCTAAAGTTAAAAGGTTAGATATTTGACTCAGTTCCAATAWAATACCTATATTTTCCAGTGGGGAGGATCTGAGGAAGGTATGTTGTAGAAGACATCCATATCTCCAACATGGAAAGGATTGTATTTCTAAGGGGTGGGAAGGAACTTATGTATTGTTTAGTCTTCCCTACTGGAAAGAATGGATTTTTCTAGCAACGAAAGAGTACTTTTACATTACAAAATCATTGCAAACAATTTAATTAATTAAAATATTTTCTTTTAGCTCCAGTAATTCTAAAGACAATGAAAAGGAAGGTCMATCAGATAAACCACTCTTCTCTGGAGACAAGTTTAGTGAGCTTTYTTTATCACCTCATATGGTAATAAAAAATATGTCACATCCATCTAGTTAGACTGCAAAATGGCCCTCTGCTRTGGGGGGTTGGGAAGGGAGAATGTACCTCTTCCCCTCTCCACAGTTCCACCCCACCAACCCCTGACCCACGCCRGAGAGCCACAGACGTAAATTTTTCAAGTGATTAATTTTTTGAATATRACATCTTTCTTCCAATATTAATAACTCCAACATRGCTGTCATATCTTTACKTATTATTTGACTTTCCTYGAAATTGACTTTCAACTATTTCTTTCAGGTGTCCAATTTAGAAAATAACTTACAAATGACAACATTGACCAGGTAAAAWTGAGATTTATAATTTAAGTAAAAAGTGACTTGTGTTTTACTTACCATGCTTTTGTSACTAATTCCTGCTGGCTGCATTACTGTCAGAACAGAGAATGAAATATAAGCTGTTTATTTTTCGTACAGCAAAAATGCATTGCAGTTTTCAATACTGTTTTCTTACACTTCTTTRCATGCTGCACTTACTCCCATGGTATCAGCACCATGCTCAATTCAATAACAAAGCAGTCCAATAAAATTCAATCAGAGTTTGCATACTGTTTAAGCTATGTGATAATTGGTRATAATAATGCTCTCCTTTCTCCCAATCACAGCATACAAAGGTCTGCAATACCAGCACTTATTGAAGGCAAAGATGTTTTTGTCAAGTCAAAGACTGGATCAGGTCTGAAATCATTCCCGTGCTATGGAAGCAACGTGGCTTATCTTCATGTTCCATAAGTTGGTTAATGATCTGTACAGTCTGTATTCCTCATAATTAATATCCCTTTTATATATTGGTTTTAAATTTTTTCTGTTTGTAGGAAAAACTCTCTGTTATGCTCTCCCAATAGTTCACACACTACAAAAGATTAGGCCTAAAATAGAGGCAAGTAGGGCAATATTGTTTTTGCATATTGCACTAGYAGAGTCTTCTTTAACTACATGATTGTATGTTTACTCCATGCCTGTGAGGAGCTAAAAGGTTGTCTTTTATCAACATTTAGTCAGAAGTTATTTTTGGCTTTATATGCTAAAAACAAATATTTGTATGTGGAAAGATCTTCATTTTGTAGCCCTTAAGTTATATATTAAATTTTGTATATATTTTTCTAATATTTCAGAGATGTGATGGTCCTTATGCATTGGTTTTGGTCCCAACAAGGGAGGTAAAGGCAGTCAAGTCTCTACATATACTTCTATGATTGTCTACTATCATAATTTTATAAAATAATTTTTACTGTTAAAAATCTCACCTTCTGATTGGTTGAGGGTGTGTGTTCATGAGAGCGCAGAGCACTTGCACCCACTATCTATTTTTCCATTCCTTTTAAAAATGGCTTCATTTGTGTACCATGTGCTGTTTTTATCCTAACACTAAACCCTGTTTATTTATGACTGCACACGGTGCCTGCGCACTTGTATTCCTGTATATTTTTTCATTAGTACTCGTTAATATGAATTTTTTTTCAGCTTGCTCTTCAAAGTCTTGGTCTTCTCCAGAAGCTTGTCAAGGTTTGATAATKTCTACTTGTGTAAATCATTATTTGCATAAAGATAAAGCATAAGACTCATATTCAAAGCTATTCATTCAAATATTTTTCTTAAGTGTGTATTTTCTGTTTTTCTTATAGCCATTTCAGTGGGTCGTCCCAGGATTTGTCATTGGAGGAGAAAAGAGAAAATCAGAGAAGGCTAGGTAATGAAGGCTGCATCCATCTATTTATCCATCCCATCCATCCAAACATCACATCTCGATTCCATCCATCTCATCCTATTCCATCCCTCTATTCCATACCCATCCATCAATTCATCTACCCCTCCCATTCAGCTATCCATCCCATC